GAGTACATGATATTCTTTGTATTATTCGACTGATCACTATTTCCCAAATCATCATGAGAAAGAAGCGGCCAAGCATGCTGGTACTGATTATTCGCGTGGAAACTATCCACTTTCCGCCATCCCAAACCCACTTGTACAGGCATTCCCATACGCCGAAGTTGTTGATATCCACTACCCGCCCGCATCATTTTAAGCGTGGGATCACGGAACACAAAAGCACGAGCTTTTCCGCTACGGTGCTGTTCTGGCCGTGCACAGCGAAACATTCTAAAAAGGGAAAAAAAAACAGGATTACGAACGAATAAGAAAAGAAAGAATTCCACCCGTGATACCTACCACCTATAAAAAATAAAAAAAAGGAACAAAAAAAAATTCATCAAATTAAAAAATAAATATATATCAATAATAATGATAAAAATAATACGACGCACATATTCATGTGTACCAGTAAAACAATTGTACCGTCAGTGAGCAGAACAAAAAATTCTGTAAAAAAACAACGGAAACAAAAAAGTAATGGAATTATAAAACAGAACACCCAATCCCAAAGATTCCAGTTAATAAGAAAACGGTGCACACACATCCGCATGTCTATATTTAGAATAAATGTATACCGTCAGTGAGCAGAACAGCCCAGTTTTCTGCACACACAAAACGGGAAAAAGCAAATAATGGAATTATTAGAAAAAGAACACACACACATAAAAGTAAAGAAAAGAAATTTCAATTAAAAGAGAAAGCTGATAAACAGATTATAAGTTTATTTACCCATGGGGAATATACGTGTTTATGATCATGTTAGTATTAACCATTATTATTATTATTATTTGCTCTCAGATGAGTCCCACTGTTCAGTACACAGTAACGGAGAACAACACAGCCACAATCAGTAGCGGTGCTGCAGTGCGCATCCACACAGGATTGAGACTGCTGTCAGCATTACCCTTGTTCTTTACAGTGGAAGCGACGTTGGTGTTAATATCTGAATTGGGTTCAGGAGAAGGTGTTGCGGTTGGTGCTTCTGTGGTAGTGTTCTCAGTGCTCGTCGGAGTAATGGAATTAGTTTCTTGTGAGGCTGATGGGGCAGTTGCAGGAGGTTGCTGGGTAAGATTAGAGTCGGCAGGTGTACTGTTATCAGTTGTGCTGACCGATACCCCTTGATCACCTGGTGATGCTGCAATAGACCCTGGAGGCAATTCAGTTTTGGCCTGCAGAGATTTTAACACCTCCGAACAATTTTTCCCATTTATAATGGTAGCAGAATTATTCCTACAGAACTCGTCGTAAATAGCTTTCGTAATTGGTTCGAAGAGAACAACAATACGCTCCTCCTGACTTCCATTAGCAGATACTTCAGGACTTAGATTGGCGCCTGCTCCCTCGGGACTCTTAACCTCAGTTGATGGATGAGCAGTCTTGTTTATGAATCCCAACTCCGTACAATTTTTTCCCTCAAACGTAAGAGAGCTGTTCTTCATACACTCTTTATACATGTGGCTTGTCCAGTCAAGAAAATGATCCCAATCCGTACCAGTATTAGCCATCACCGCCTTTGGTTGTCCAGCATTAACAGTAGCAGCAGCCGTCATGGTATACCCGCAGGCGCAGCACAGCACAACGGCCAACACACACATCACACGGCGCATCATCATCATCATGAGAGAGACAACAGTTTGTTTCACGTAAAAACACTGATCTAGACAGAAAAAAAATCAAAAAAAAATACCTGAAGTATCAAACATGTTAGGACACACAAATCGATTACCACTAAGGAAACTCACATCACAAAAGAAATACCTACCAGTTAAAGAATGCAATACAGCGCAATAACCTCAGTAAGAGTAAAAACAAAAAAAAGCCCACACTCACAAATATCTCAAAAAAAGGATGAACCACCCAGCAAAATCATCAAGCAAAGAAACAGATATTAAATATTAGCCCAATTTACCCAGTAAACACCGAAATATACACCAACTATGGGTGTAAGTCTATATGTGTATAAACGCAATTATAAATATAAATTCATCTGTTATTATTATTTCTTTTTCACCCACTTCAAAAAACAGTTCATCATCATCATCCTAGTGCAAGCCCAGGTGCACACACACAGAGAGAGTCTCCAAGAGCACACACACACACAATGGAGTACCAATAATAATAATTATAGGATAAACACAGAGAGCAAAAAACACACAAAACACAATATCATTAACATTAAGAAACAAAACAAAAGAAGAAAATCCCAACAGGTGGAAGATTAATTAGACTGTAGGGGATGCATGCAAAAAGAAGAAAAAGAAAACAAAGGATGACCTGAGTCACACCATCACCACCACAACCACAATCAGCACACAAGAATACAGGCCAGTGTAACCACAATCAGTAGTGGCACACGCACCCACACAGAACTGCTGATACTGCTGCTGTCTGCATCACCCCTCAAATTTGGTATTATGGTGTTATTGCCGAATCCAGGGATTGTAGGAATTGTATTGGTGTTGGTGGTAGGTGAGGTTGAGTCCTCGTTACTGGTGGTATTGAGAGTAACAGAGGTCGTGTTCGCTGTGGTGTTCCCTTCTGCTGATGCACGCAGAGTATTGACACCATTTGTTGATTCATTCTCCGCCGTTGTCACATTATCAGCGGTACTGTTGGGCTCTGTGCTCGTGTTACTTAGTGTGTTTGAATCATCAGTAGATAGACCAGATTGAGTTATTTCACTAGGTGATGCATCTGTAGTAGGATGTGGTTTTGAGTCAGTAGTAACATGGGATTCTGTACTTGTTGTACCTGTGACATTTGGTTTTGTATTGTGGTTTTCTTGTTGAAGATCTTGTGTGGTTTCCTTTATCTGTTCTTGTTGTCCTTCAGAACCAATCAGAACTGAACCACCTTTGTGGTTGCTGTTAGAAGAATCTATTTCCTTTTTCTGTGCCCTGTCATCACTAGGCTGACTGATACTAACACCTTTTACAGGAGAAACAGGAGATAGAACAGTTTCTGGTTGACGTTTATTCCCAAGAGCATGACCTTGTGAACTTTCACCCAATTCTCCTTCCACCACTTTTGCCATCTTATCCTCTTTCTTCTCAGTAACAACATTACCATTATCACCTTTAGTAATACCCTTGGATTCGTCAGGATGTTTCTCATGCTTATTAGTCACAGGAGGCACACCACGTTGACCAACAACAACTCCTGGCAAAATATTACCACCATTAAGTTGAGGTGAAAGAGGCATACCATAAGCATCATGAGAACCGACAGCACCAGCAGGACCAGGTTTATGCTGAGGATGTAACTGAGGGGGAATTGTCTTTGGGAAACCTTTAGCACCAGGAACAGGACCAACCATACCAGGAACACCACCAGGACAAGACACACCAGGATTAGCACAAGGATCTCGATGAGCAGCAAAGGTCGAGTGAGGCCCATGTTGTGCGGCAAGAG